GGTGCTCCTCTGCATCCGGCGTTTCCTCCCGCTGCTGGGCCCCTGGGCCTCACTGGTCGACCCGGTTTTCGGAAAGAGCGCGTTCTGTGGTCGCTTGAAGGGGGGGGGGTTGGAACGGGACCCCGTGCTCCCCTTGGATGGAGTGGGGGGGGGTTCGAACCCCCCCCCACACCCTTTTCCTCCCCCACATCTCCTCTGTGCCTCTCCTTGGGCCGGCGCCGCCTGCGTCGGCGGCGGCTTGCGGCGGCGGCGAGGACGACGATTTCCTTTTTTGGGCCAGCGCCGGCGCCTGCGGCGGCGGGCGGCGGCGGCGGGGAGCGTCGACGAGGACGACGATGGTGATGGTGGTGGTGGTGGATCGTGGTGGTGGTAGTGGTGGCGGTGATGGTGGTTGTGGTGGTGGTGGTGTGGTGTGTGGTGGTGGTGGTTGTGGTGGTGGGTGGTGGTGGTGGTGGTGGTGGTGGTGGTGGTGGTGGATGGTGGTGGTGGTGGTGGTGGTGGTGGTGGATGTGGTGGTGGTGGTGGTGGCTTGGTGGTGGTGTGGTGTTTTTTTTGGTGCTGGTGGTGATGGTGAGTTGTGGTGGTGGTGGTTTTGGTGGTGGTGGTGGCTGTGGCTGTGGTGGTGGTGTTGGTGGTGGTGTGTTGGTGGTGGTGGTGGGTTGAGGCGGTGGTGGTGGTGGTGGTAGTTGTGGTGGTGGTGGTAGTGGTGGTAATCGTCGCTGCGTCCCCGGTAGTGGTGGTAATCGTCGCTGCCTCCCCGCCGTCGCCGGCGCCAGAGGGGGGGGGGTTGAACCTCCCCCACCCCTAGGGGCGGAGGAGGGGGTTTTGAACCCCCCACCCCCTTGGGCTGCCCCTGGTCATCGGCTGCGTCCCCGCCGTCGGCGCTGCTGGCGGCTGCCGGCGCCGGCGCCGGCGCCGGCCCCGAGGGGGGGGGGGTGTTCGGCTGGGGGGGGGTATGGGGGGGAGGGGAGTCCCTTTGGTTTTGATCGACGGCGCCGATTGTTGGGGGGGGGGGGGGCCACCCCCCGCTTCGAAACGCGCCGCCGTTCCCAAGGCAAGCGCCCGTGAAACGCGCTCTCTCGGTTCTCGGAACACCACGAAACAGATGGGCGGCGCAAAGAAACGAGGTCGTCAGCGCCGACATCAGCGCGTAAGCTGCCCGCGTAAGCTCGCGCGTAAGCGCCCTCGACTCCAAAGCAGCGTGCCGCGGCAGCGGCTCGCGCAAGCTGCGGCGCAAGGGCGCTGCGTCATCTCGCGCGAGATCCCTTTTCTACTCGTCGCCCACATGGCCTGAGGCTGCGGTCGCAGTCTTTGACGGCGTGGCACTCTTGGGTCGCAGCGCTGGACCTCGGGGCAGGCCCGCAGGCCGCGGCGGCAGCCTCGCGCCGTGGAGGGAGAGACGAGGGCGTGCGGCGAGCGCGGGGGCGGCCCACCGCAGGCCCCGGATCCTAGCCTAAAGTCGGGCTGGTCCCTCTACAGGGGGAATCTTCAAAATAGACAACGAATAGCCTGGGGACGATATCCTATTATTGTTGGGCTTGCAAAACAATCTAATATTTTCATTTGTTCGTCCAAAGTCCGCCTGTAGGAGGACACGCCCGGGGCGATGCTCGAGGGTAGCCTTCGTCTCAAGAGGGCGACAGCTGTACACCGGCACTGGCTTCGAGTGTCCTTGGACTGGGTGCATGCGCCGATCCCACGGGTGTCTTTGGACAAGAGGATAGGCGTGGGTGTACAGTTGTCGTCTTCCGAAGGGTGGGGGGGCAATCCGCGTCTGACATCTCACGAACATCCATCCGACTCATCCCATCCCATTACGCTGCGAATCCCTCTCCACTGCTTACAAGGGTGTCCTGAAGGACTTTGATTCCCAGACGGCAGTTGCAGGAATTTGCCAACTGTTTGATGCGCAGTCAGACAGGGGGGAGGGAGAAGGGAAAGGGGGAGGGCGTGGTCCTCTTTGTCTTCCTTCTGCACCTCTGCCTTTGCCTCCTTTTCCCTCCAGTTTCTTCTTTCATCCTCCTTCTTCTCCGCGCCCCCTGTTGCTTCCCCCTCCCCCCCTCCCGCCATCCTCTTGAAATTGATATCCATATTCCTCCCCTTCCTCATCATTCTCACTCCCCTTCTTCTCCTCCCCCTCGTCCCTCCCACCCCTCCCATCCATCCTGCCTCTCATCACCGTTACCTTCCTCCCCCCATGCTCCTTCCCCTTCCCCTCAGGAAGGAGACGAAGAAGGAGCATGAGGAGGAGGAGGATGCGACGACGAGTAGGAGGATGGGGATGGAAGGTTTTCCGAGTTCTCCTCGCCCCCCGCCTAGCTTCCTCACTCATCTTCCCCATCCTTTGGGGGAGTGAATCAGGGGGGAGAGGGTAGGGGGGAGGATGAGGAGGAAAGGGAGGAGGAGGAGGAGGAGAAGGAGGAGGGACGGAGATTTGGCATGTAATCGGTCATCATGGAAGCAGTGGTGCTGCCACGATGTACCAGGCCAGCCAGATATGCTGGCAAGTTGAAAAGCATGGCCTGGAAATTGCAGGGCCTGGGTGACTGCCAGGCTCACATGAACAGACGTTGGCCGCGGGGAGGAGAGAGCTAGCACGGCAGCCGTTCAAGCTCGCCCTCCTTTTTTTGATGCGAAAAGTGGCCGAGGAGGAAACGAGGAGACGCCAGATGAGGAGGAGGACAAGGAGAAGGAGGAGGAGGAGGAGGAGGAGGAGGAGGAGGGGGGAGAGGGAGAAGGAGAAGGAGAGGGAGAGGGAGAGAGAGAGAGAGAGAGAGAGGGGAAAGGTGAAGGAGGCGGTGAGGGATCGGAGGGACGGGCAGGCGGGGTGCGCTTGCGCCATATCTGACATCCTCCATCCATCCTGCCCTCCCATCCTTTTCCGTCGCGTCGTGTTGTTCTCTATGCGCGGAGGCGCGACCTGGACTTCCAAAAAGACCCCGCCGTACCTCTGATGATGATGATGATGATGTTGCTGCTGATGATGGCGATGATGATCATGAAGATGATGGCGATGATGATGATGATGATGATGGTGGTGGTGATGATGTTGATTATTCTGATGATGATGATGATGATGATGATGATGATGATGATAATGATGATGATGATGGCGGTGATGATGATGAGGAGGACGAGGATGAGGATGAGAATGTGATGATGATGCTTGTGATGATGATGATGATGATGAGGATGAGGAGGAGAAGGAGGAGGATGAGGAGGAGGAGGAGGAGCAGGTGCCGGGTGAGCAGGAGGCTGAGCAGGAGGATGAGCAGGAGGAAAAGGGAGATGACGAGTCAGGACCAGGACGGCGGTGACTAACAGTAGCAACAGGAATTGGGTCTGAAGGTGCGGAGGGAGCAGGAGGACGAGTGGAAGGCGGAGATGAGGCCTACGCTGCAGCGGGAGCACCACGTTGAAACACCGAAAACAATCAGAATGTAAACAGCACCATTGGAAAGACCACCTTTGTCGAATTCTGCGCGTAAGAAACAGTACGCGGAGAGGGCGGAGCATCTTCTGGACAGAGTCAGGGGAGAGGGGAGGGTACCCTTCATGATGTGTACGCAATTGTCGAGGGAGGGGACAGGTAACAGGAAGGGGATGCGTAGGATCTCTGTGGGGATGGGAAGATGAGGGGGCACAGGCAAGGGCGAGGAGACAGGGGAGCGCAAAGGGACAACGGCAGGAAGGAGGATGTCCTACATACCTGTGGTGCACTGGAGGACGTGGGCCAGCCAAGACGGCCAGAAGGGTACGCCTTTGATGCGAGGGTGCCGCATGCTTCGCATCTTTGCCTGTCTCCCTGGTCCAAGGGCCAGGCCGGACGACAGGGGGGGAAACAAAGAAATGGGGGTACGAAGTCTGTTGCGTGCACCTTCCTCAATACAGAGGCGCCCGCGGGCGCTGAGAGGCACTGGGGAAGTCAGCTACACGAGCTGATTTGCCAACCCCCCTTTTCCTACACCCCCGTCGTCTGACCAGAGTCTGACCCCTTGTTCCTGGTCTTGTCTGGGGCATCGAGCGACCAGGAAACCGAGAGCCAGTGGCGATGCACAGTGATCGATACTGGCAGTGATATACACCCATCAGAAATCCCCAAAATAGTCACTAACCTTCCTGGACTCCAGTTTTCTTCAAAGTAAACCAGACATCTGGACTGGACCCTGGGCGCTTCCTGTCTTCCTTGAGTGTTAGCAGGGACCCTTGGAGTCAAGTCTGTCTTCTCAGCCAAAACTCTCGTAAGTTTAAGCAGTGGTGTACTGGGTGGCGCTAAGAAGTAGTGGGGGCGGGGCGTTGGGGCAGCCTTCCAGGAAGGCGCCGCTTCCTAGAGGCCCTCCTGCCTTGAGGACACGCTCTCGGATAATTCCGTTCAGGGGGAGGTGCCCTCTTCGGCGCCGGTGCGATCCGTGGACGTTTTCCTATCGATGAGGCTTCCCTCCTCGTGCTTAGCAGGTCGCTGACTTCACGCACTCGTGGGACGATCTGTGTGTGTTTGCTTCGCTGTATCCCCTTGGCTGTCCTCCTCCGTCTCCCATACAATGCGCTGGAACACAACAACCTGTTTGGAATATTCCGATCTGGTCTAAGAAGCCCCTCCTCCCCGAGCCTCCGCTTGCGCGCCACCAAGTTGTACATAGAAGCTGTCAATTGCTCACAGAAGTCCGTTGGCCACCCAGTCAGTTTCAGCCTAGATAAGATGATAAGATATCCCGCCGGCCCTCTGGTCAAATGTGAGAATCAGAGCCCTTGCTCTTCCAACGCCGTTCTCCCTGGTCCTTCGAGGAGGGTAAACCCCTCCTTCGGAGAGGCCGCGGCCAGCTAATGCATCCATGATGGGCCTACGTGGTTCCAGGGTGGCCCTAGATCCATACATATCTCTCCTTGAGCCCCTTTCTTGGCAACATCTGGGTCGCGCTCGTGCAGTGGGCATGTGCGCGCGACATTATTGATGAAGCGATGCGACTCGGATGTGCAAGTAGCGAGATACTCATTCATGGATCGCCGTCTAGTGCACAAAATTCTTGTCCGATTCCTATTCAGTGGATGGCGTTGGACCGCGAACAAACATGTTCATCGCCAACATCAGTACCCACACTCCAGTAGACCGACATGTGTGATTGAACCTCATGTGCATTGAGGACATGATGTGCCTCACCCACGTCTGAGTGTCGGATGCTATCTCTACCAAGTGGCTTGTGCAGCACAACATCCACCTTTGCATTTGAATGGGGCGCGTGGACAGGTTAACGATGGCTGGTACACCTGGCCCCAACAGGGCTGCGGAGGCCAGTGCCAACACGGGCTCGCATAGAACCGCGAGGTCTACTTTGCAACAGCTGCTCGCCCTCCTGGACCGCGTGCCGGGATGCAGAGTGAAGTTGTGATGCCACACTGCCTGAGGCCCGTATTCCTGAAGTCATATTTCAAGTATGTCGCAGGAGATCGCAGGTGAATAGAACGCGTGTCTTCGCCTCCTCCCCGCGCCACAGCAGCACGGTACATATATTGCAAGGGGGTCAGGGGGTCCTGGGGACGGGAGTGCAGCGCAAACGTGGCGATGCGCTTATGTGCAAGAGTGGCGCCATGCAGTGGCGCGATGTTGGACAGGTGCACGGCACACGTTTGGCAAAGCTGCGGCCAGGAGGCGGCACGACAGCAATGGTTGTGTCACGTCAGCTGCCCCCTCGTGTTCAGTGCCGACGTGGAAGCACCGCGCCGGATGTTCGAAGACGTCGGATGTCAAGCGATCCACGCTGCATGCCCATATCGGAGAAGCAATGCTGTGTGCAGGGACGGGGGGGGAGGAGATGCAGAGGGAGACGAACAGAGCGCAAGACAGTGGAAAGAGAGACCAGAGATGCTCCCTTCGAGGGACAGGGGAAGTACGAGGTGGGATTCGGAAGCTCTAGGCCTCCTGGATAGGATCGGAGTAGATGGGTTCGGAGGATCGCGCCGCATCGCCGGTGCATCGCCGATGCGGCTCGATGTGGAGCGCGATTTGCTTTACGTCGACGTCGCTGATTCATCGCCGACGTCGACGATGCATCGCCGATGCATCGGCGATGCGGCGCGATCCTCCGACCACATCTCCGCCGACTCCATTTAGGAGGCCTCTAGAAGCCCATCCACGCTTTGCACAAGACTTGCGCCGATTGCGGTCGGATCTGTGCCTTGCTGGGTATGAGAAAACGCCTTGCAAGTCAAGGTTTCGCTAGCGCGCAGAACGAAGGCTGGGGCGCGAAGACCGCATGCGATGGCGCTTGGATATTCAATCCCGCTCGTGACAGAAAGCACCTTGGCGTTGGACCAAACCATGTGCAGTTGTGAGCACCGGCCTTGTGAATGTCGCCTTCAGCTGAGCTCCTTGGGGGCAACGTACCGTGTGGGGTGTGTGTGCCCAAACGACCGTGACGCCCACATACGAACGTGCTACCTGGGGCCTTCGGCGGAGCTCCCAATGGGGCCGCGACACGTGTGAGGGGTGTGCCGAAACGAGCGTGACGCCCACAAGCGAACGACGCAATTGGGGCCTTTGTTGAAGCTCCCTACGGGGCACGAATCGAGTGAGGTGTGTGCCGAAACGAGCGTGACGCCCACATGTCAACGTCGCCACTGGGGCTTCGGTGGAGCTTCCTACGGAGCTTCAAGACGTGTGCCGAATCGAGCGCAATGCGCACATGCGATCGACGCAATTGGGGCCCAAGGTGGAGCTCCCTATGGGACCCCGAAACGTCTCCACCAACCTCTTCTGAACGGCCTGCGAACGGTGCCAAAGGGAGCCGTGGTCCAGCCTGACCGTCAAATCGCGACATGCGTCGCCAAGACTTACCAGTGGCTTCTCCTCCTCCTCCTCCTCCTCCTCCTCCTCCTCCTCCGCCTTCTCATCCTCCTCCTACTCTTGCTTCACTTTCTGATTATTCTCCTGCTTCCCAAACTTCATTTCATCCCTCTCTTTCCCCCCTCCTCACGCCAGAGGCGTGGGTCAAAAAGATGTACCCCAGGACTTGTCCTGAGGTGAGTCCTGACCAGAATTTGGAGAGGGATCCGGCCGTGGCGACGAGGGACCCCCCGGAGGCGCAACAAAAACGGCGACAGACGCCCATAAAGATCGATCCTGGACCCTGGATCCAGTCAACCCGCACAGTAAGGATGCGCGATTTTCCAAGGCTAGTCCTCTATCCTCCCCCTTCGGCCCGTCCTTGGCCGCTTTCGCTGTCCGCGCCCCGCTCGCCAAGTGTCGACATGGACTTCGAGGGCCCTTGCATCCTTGGCGTGCGTCCTTAGCATTCTCGGGTTGACTGCATTTTCTCCCCCCATCCTCCGTTCTCCCCGCCCCTCCCTCCTGCATCCCCCCGCGCAGCGGAGGACATGCTCAGGGTTGCCCTCCTGGCGATCCTCATCGTGCTCAGCTCGTGGTCGACGTGGACAGATCTGTGGACCAGGTGGATGGCAGACACTCCAGAGGTTCGCGCCACAAAGGAGAAGGAGGAGGAGGAGGGAGGGGAGGGGGAGGGGGAGGGGGAGGGGGAGGAGCAGGAGGATGAGGAGAAGGAGGATGAGGCGGATGAGAAGGAGGAGAAGGAGGAATAGAAGGAGGATGAGGCGGCGGAGGAGGAGGAGAAAAGGGGTCCTGAGGGGAGCGGGCGCCGGAGGTTTTGCACTGTTGTCGCCCCCCCCCCCCCCCTGGGGCCCTCCCCCCCACTTGTCTCGATGCGAAGAACACGTAGCGTTTTGGATAATGCTTGGATCTGAGTCTTATCGCGAAGAACATGTATCGTGTTGAAGCAGTTTTGATGTTTCCCCATGTTTTGAGCCCCCGGGCCGTCAAACGAACTCGGGCTGGGAAACCGGTCCCTGGGAAGGGGTCCAGAGCTCTGGGGGTCTATCCTGGCGAAGGACCCGACCACATGCAGCTGTGAGTATCGCAGCTGTGAGTATCGTCTTCGTTGGATTTCTCCATTGAAGCGCGCGAGGGGCATGCCGAATTCTAGACGCTCCGCGTGACCCCACCAGCCCATCCAGAAACGATGCCCAGGCGAGTTGCCCTGACCAGGCATGTGGGGTAGCACGCAGTGGAATGAAGGCTGGGAAGCTGTCGTACCCCAAGAGGGGGAGGATGGAGGAGGAACCAGAGGAGGAGGAGGAACCAGAGGAGGAGGAGGAGGAGGAGGAGGAGGAGGAGGAGGAGGAGGAGGAGGAGGGGAATGGGGAGGAGGAAGGAGGAACACACGAAGGGGAAGAGGAGGAGGGTGGACAGAATGGCCAGAGGCCTCTTGGATGCTTCTCGGAGTCTCTTCGGGTGTCTCTTGAGAGCTTCTTGTAGGCCTGTTGGGGCGTCTTTGGAGCCTCTTAGCGGTCCGGAGGGCCTCGTGAAGCGTCTTGGGTGCCTCGGGGGAGCATCTTGAGGCCTCTTTGGAGTCCCTTGGGAGCCAGGCCTCTTGGGAGCCTTTAAGGGTATCTTGGGGGCCCCCTGGGGACTCCTGGGCGCCTCTATTGGGGCACCCTTGGGAGCCTTGGGAGCCCTTTTGGGGCCATCTTGGAGGTGATCGATCCAATAAGGGAGGGCACTCCATTAGGCCCCCCTCCGGGAGAAGGGCAATTGTTTGCCAAAACCTTTGTACCATCCTTGGTTCGGGCTTTCTCTCGCCGAGGCCTTCTTGGACGCTCGCATGGGTCGCGACGCCCCTCCCGTCCAGGACCAGGAGGAGGGGGCAGCCAGTGGGAGAGGGTAGGACCCTCCCCGAGGAGAAGGAGGAGGAGGAAATGAGAAGGAGGAGGAGGAGGACGAGGAGGACGAGGAGGAGGAGAAGGAGAAGGAGGAGGAGGAGGAGGAGGAGAACGAGAAGAGGCGCCCTCAAGCACTCACGCCCTACAGGGCTGGTGGGCTTTGGGCCTGGGGGGACGGAGGCCGCAGGCGGAAGGTGCCATCGGGGCCTTCGGCGGAGCTCCCAAATGGGGGCCGCGAAACGCGCGAGGGGCGTGTCGAAGTGGGGGGAGCCGCATGCGAGCTGTGCCACTGGACGCGCCATGATCGACTGCAGGGAATAGAAATATGGGCTTCCAGAGCGAGTTTTCAAAGTCTCAGAATCTCTGAAAAACCGAAGCCGGGTCAGCACATTGTCCGTCCGGGCCGGGTGGGCCAACTGGCTCCACCCCGCGCGGGGATTCCTTTAGCTCATTGATGCCGAAGAGCTCTGAAAGGTACAAAGCTCGGCCACGGGAACTGTGCCACTGGGGGCCCCATGTGGGACCACGAAGCGCGTACGGGGTGTGCCGATACAGGCACGTCGCAATCGGGGCCTTTTGTGGCGCCCCCCTACTGGGGCACGGAACTCGTGATACGTGTTCCGAAACGGGCGTGACGCCCACGTGCGAGCGTCGCCATTGGGGCCTTCGGTGGAGCTCCCGATGGGCCCACGAAACGTGTGAGGGGTGTGCCGAAACGGGCGCGACGCCCACATGCGAACGTCGCTTCTGGGGCCTTCGGTGGAGCTCCCTGTGGTGCCACAAAATGTGTGAGGGGTGTGCCGAAGCAGGGGCATGCGGAGGGCAGAGGCGGGGATGGGAGGAAGACGGAGGGCAGCGTGAGGGAGGGAAGGGGACGCGGGGGCGCTGTCTCGTCAGAACGACGACCCAACACCAGTGGACGGTCAGAGGCCCAGGTCCTCACAAAGGTGCGTCCTGGGAAGACGCCTCCCCCCGAGATACCCCAACGCATCGAGGGCCCGTTTCGCTCATGCCGAAGAGGTGCAGCAGAGACGGATCGCGAAGAACCTGGACCTGACGTACATGGCCGGCAGGGCCATCGATGCCGCAGAGGTGCGGAGGAAGATCCAAGAGGCCCGTGGCGGGGGCGGGCGCACAGCAGCACACAAGGGCGCATGTATCGGGGCGACTGGACAGAGGGGAAGGGGAGGAGGAGGAGGAGGAGGAGGAGGAGGAGGAGGAGGAGGAGCAGGAGGAGGACCAGTGCAAACCCAACATACCATCGACGTTGAAGTGCACCCTCCCTCCAAGTTCCAAGTTCCTCTCCAATGGTCTTTGCGAGCATTGTTTCGTTGAGCGAAGCACCCATTGGAAGACAACCGTTTGCAGATCCTGAGCCGTGCCATATCACCATTCCTGGGATTTCAACGCCGCGAATCAACCTTATTGTTGCGTCCTGACGTCCGAGGTCCATTCTTGGGACGTCAACGCCGCGAATCAACGTGACTGCTGCGCCGTGACAATCCTACAGCGTGCCAGCACACCGTTTCCGGGACGTCCACCACAAGAGTTTTTGATCTTGCCGTCGACTCTTGAGGCGAATGCGCGCGGCGCTACGGCGAGAGCCACCTCTTGAACACGAGCCGCCCGCCATCCGCGAAGCGCACGCAAGCGCTCCAGACGAAGGTGCGCGCCGCCGAGACAGCCGCCACGTGCTACGAATGCCCCGCCCTCCGCCTGCGAAGCTCCCGCAGGCCTCCGGCACGCCGCCTGCGCGGCGTGCCGGCGAGCGCCACCCCGTAGAGAAGGCGCCGACCGACATCCGCCCGTGGAGCTCCTTGCGCGTGGTGAGCCTCGGGATCGCACGTGGCGGGGGCTCCTCGGAGGAAGCGCCCGGCCCGCCCTGCCGGCACGCCTCGGTGCGCCTCGGGGACAAGCTGTTCGGCAGCGCGTAAGAGAGAATGACCCTTCGCCGGAGCGACCGCTGGTCCCAGCCCTCTGGGGCCCCGCGATCGCCGGACGCGGTGCGGCCGACGCGTCTCGGTGTGCCTCAGGGACAAGCTGTTCGGCAGCGCACAAGAGAGAGTGGCCCTTCGCCGGAGCGACCGCTGGTCCCAGCCCTCCGGGGCCCCCCGATCGCCGGACGCGGTGAGGCAGCAGCAGCGTCTCTGCGTGCTTGTGGCTGGCCCCCGCGCGACCCCAAAAATACCGCGCACCAAAGGTCACTCTTACTCAGGGTCACTCCTGCGTCTAGTCGAGTTCTTTGTAAGGACCAGGAATGGAGGAGGAGGAGGAGCAGGAGGAGGATGAGGAGGGGGAGGAGGAGGAGCAGGAGGAGGATGAGGAGCGGGAGGAGGAGGAGGAGGAGGAGGAGGAGGAGGAGGAGGAGGGAGGAGGAGGATAATCACCGGCCATGCTGCTAGGTCTGCGGGCGGGCCGCCATCCGACAGTCCCCTCGGAGAGACGTGCGGATGTGTCAATGGGGGGCACCAGAGGAGGAGGAGGAGGAGGAGGAGGAGGAGGAGGAGGAGGAGGAGGAGGAGGAGGAGAAGGAGGAGGAGGAGGAGGAGGAAGAGGAGGAAGAGAAGATGGAGGAGGACCAGAGTAAACCAAAAATGCATCAACGATGCTGCAACACACCCTGCCGTCCCAAGCCCCCTCCTCGTACGCCCCTACAAGTTTCCTCTTCGATGCAAGAAGCGCCTCCCTTGAAAGACCCGCACGGCTGGGCCTGCCGTTCTGGCGAGGGCCCTGCCTCGAAAAGAAGAACCAACGCTAGCAGCGATGGTGGTACAGCTCATCGAGCCTGTACAGCGGTATCCCCCCTGTCGACAAACAAAAAGACGCCCCCGCTGCGGTCGACCAGCTGACGCCCAATACATCGAGGAGATCTGCGCTCAGGTTTCGGATCACGTTCGCCCCAAACGGTCTGCCCAGCTGCATCGAGGGAGGGTGGGAGATCACGGTGGATGGGCACTGGCAGATACTCAATGCTATCCGCAACGATCCCAAGACTTTCTTCGGGATCATGCCCCCCCCCCCCGCGCTCGTCGTCGTCGCGGTCGGCCAGACCAAGCTCAAGGGGTGCAAGAGCGACGCCGCGACCTCCATCGGCAGTGCCCCGCGCGTCCTCCAGGTTTGCTTCGGCGGACGGTGGCGGTGACATCCCTCTGGGGCCCGCGGGCGCGCGCTGCCCGCCCCGAGTTGGGGCAGAGGGTGCCCGCCTGGCAGGGAGCTGTCGACCCGAGGCCGCCGCCGCGCTGCGCCCTGCAGCGACCGATCAGGACGTGGAAGCTGCCACTTTCGCAGGCCCAGAGATTGACACCGACACCAAGATTGGCGGTTTGCCCCCACCGAGGGAAGAAGATCCCGATCTCGGCGATGGTGGTAATATTCTGGCTCCCAAGGTGGCCGAAATATTGCCACCGACGCCGAGATCTAGGATCGTCGTCCCCTGTGGAGGCAAGCCCCTGCGTTGGTGTTGGTGCCCATTTCCAGGCCTCCAGTGGAAGCTGCCACTTGGGATGCCGAGGCGTTGCAGGCCCCGCCTCCCTCCCTGTCGGCGCAGCTGGCCTTGGAGGACGGGCCCGGACGACGGCGACTCAAGATGGCCACGAACAACGGTCACGCCTGGCAGTCGGCCAAAGGTGTCCTCACTGTGGCTGGGCAAGCAGGGAAGTGCACCTGATGCGGCGCGCATTCAGGAGCATAGGCTTCTTCCTGGCCAAACTGAGCGTTCGGCGCACCAGTGGCGCCACAAAGGGTCTATGAGGATGTCGGCGGGACACGCCATCGACACTGGCGCTGGCCACCTGGAGATCTCGGGGGGCGTCGTTATCATCATTGCTCAATTGTTAGGAGCACGCGGCATCATAGAAGTGCATGAGCAGTGTCAACATCGAGTGGCGCTCAGGCTGGTTACTGTACCGCTTTCGTCGGCCATCTTGGTTGGCTCGGCATGCGCTGCCAAGGGCATGGGTGCCAATGGGGGTCGACCTCGACCTGTTTGACTTCCTGTCGACGACGCTGCTCGGGTGCTCGCGGTCGCTCACTATTGCTCGAGATTGGAATATGGATCCAGAGGACATGCTACATACGGAAGGGCTCGATGTGGTCCATGGTAGTTTTCGCGTGAGTTACCACGCTGCACGTGGAGAAAACATCCGAGATCTGTTCAGTGTGTGATGTTAAACGCATTCGGCTGCCGGGTCGACGCGCTCGAGGAGGTGCCGATCTCATTTCGCCTCCTTTTTATGTCTCCCGCGGTGGGAAGCATCATGGGGGGGCTGTAGCCAGAGAAGAGGTGGTTTGCAAGTATTTTCCTCTCCACCCCGTCGGCTTCGACACGAAGGATAGGGCCACTTGGCTACCGTCAGAAGAAATGGAGTCTTCAATGTTTGCTCAGTCGGTTGAAGATGCAAAAGTGTATCCCGAGGAATGGTTTGGTTGCGTGGAGTTGGGCCTATGCCAGCGGTTCAAACTGGAGTAGGAGGAGTGGGCTGCATACGGGGGCATGGCTAAATGGCACAAGCTCAAACAAGTCCCGCTTTGAGCGCCTTCAGCATTATGTGAACTCGGAAAGAACATAACTCCACGCTGGCGGGCGGCGCTGGACCTTTGGGAACAGCTCAAGTTTTGGGGCGACGCATTTCAATGTTCTAGACCCAGACGGACTGATCGGCGAGATCGTCAATGCAGCAACTTACGCGGGTTGGAACTACCTACGGCTATTACTGACTCTGGTGTGCTGCCGGACCCGCAGGTGGACACATTTATTCAAGTGGCGATTCGTGGTGGAGTTTTGTGCGAGTGGGGCGCGCTAGCTCAGGTGGTGATGGCGCGGCAGCAGAAGGATGCCTCCGAGATTTCGAGGCAACTGCTTTTTTCACAATGGGTTCGCTCAGCGTCCATGCGAAGGTGGCTTTCGCGGTCATCCGCACTAAGCCAGCGGAGGAGGAAACCGTCGTTTCGGAAAGCCTGGCATGCGCGGTCGACAGCGCAGTTGAGCATATTGCTCTTACATGGAAAACGTATTGGTACCCAAAGGTTCGCGAATGTGAGCCACGCCCTCGCACGTGGAATGCCGACTGGACGCTCGGTGTCATTTCGGCGAACGGCGCTCGCGGCGTCTTGAAGGTGCTTCTCGCTGTGCACAGCGGCGGGGTGGGAGGCTCTGAATCCGCGCGCCTTCAGATTTTGCTGGTCGACAGACGGTCGAGCGGTTGACAAGTATCATGTCATCGCGGGAAAAGCTCTCACCGGTGGTTCCCTTCGCATTGTCCTCGTCGTCTGCCTCCCTGAGCCAGCGGGAGCGGCGGGGCCCGTAGGGCTCCTCCTATCGGTTGCGAGCACGCGGAGTCGGGCCCGGCAGAGGGCCATTCGGAAGTGGGGGCCGGAGGCGGGCAACTTGGCGTTTTGCGGAGGGAGTTCGTCGACCTCGGCCGAACGCGCAATTTGCATGCGCAACCTTTTGGTTCGGCATGCCCGTCTGATGGGTCAGCAACCAGCAACGAGTGTCGGTGTCCTTCGAAATTGTACGATTCCATGAGAACAGATGATGCTGAATTTCGGTGGGCAGGCTCTCATTTTTGATTTCATATCTCACGCCGAATGTCGGCGGGCAGGCTCTCATTTTGATTTCAATTTGGGAAGGCTCTTCGTTTTACTGCAGATCCCCCAGACGACGGGCGCGACGGGGGTCAGTGTCTGCGAGCAGCTCTCAGCCAATGACACAGTCATCGCGGGCTGCTCATGCGCCGCGGGGGCCCCCCATGCTCTTCCCAGCGTCGCTCCTGGGGAAGCTCGCGCGGGAGGCCCCCCTGCGGGGGCCCAAATACGCGATCGACGAACTGGCAGGCCGCGCCGTAGGCGGGCCCGACACGGCGGCCAAGGCCGCTGGCAAGCTGCGTTTTAGTTTAAGAGTGCACGCAGGAGTTCAAGCTTCCGGTTTCTTGGAGACTACGTCTCTGACTGTGCTCCGAGACTAGGGCGGTGCCCAAGGCCCCCAGCCCCAAAGGGTTCAGTTTCAGGGGGAACGCGCTCGCGCCGGCCTGCAGGCGCCTCGGCGGGGGCTCCAACAGCGGCCAGCGGAGGAGAGCAGGTGCCCGCGAGGCCCGGATGACCGACGCAGCGAAGCTGGCTTGCCATCTGTCAACGTTTGGCTCAGGGAATACGGTCTCGAGGATGCTCAAAACGGCCCCCGTTAGCAAAGTCAGTCCCGGGGCCGCCTTGCCCGATACAGCACTGGCGTTCGTTTTCTGGGATGTCCGTCAGGCGCCAGCCCTGCGTCAAGATCCAAGCGGTCATCGGCGTTGTTCTGGCCATCAAGGAGTTCGCGCACGCGCGGCGGCCCAAACAGGTCAGCACAGACGTCACCAAGGGTGGTTTTCAGGAAGCGCAGAGCGCCTTCACGCTTGTATGGGCCTGGGGCGCGGTGAAGCACCTCATCTCAGCGCCTGCGCTAAGCCGCGGCAGGGTCGGCGGGAGGTGGACTTCGACGGAGGCTACATCATGGGGGACCTCGGTCGAAGTTGCTCTATGCCAGAATTCGCGCCGAGCTGTTCGGCCATCCTGTTCAGGCTCGGGCCCGACGGGCGACTGACGGAGACAAGCAGGCACGGCAACATACTTCTCGTTTTCGGGGGGGGCCTGTATTCTGAGCGCTGTCGACGAGTTGCAACGTCAGAAGAATTTGTCTTGGGTGGCACGATCATCGCAAGAGTGCCCCGAATGCGATGGTAGCCAATTCGCACTGGCGCCATGAGCGGGTCCATTCTTGCGCGCCAGATATCAGCAATAGTTGTCAGCTTTGCCATGGTGATGCGGGCGCCATCTGTCATCAGTGTTTTCGCTGCCCGGCTCGCTAGCCGCGGGGGAGGGGTTTCCGCCGCCCTGCTGCTCGCGAGCCGTGGAGAGGGTTCTTGGGCGACGCCGTCAAGATCATTGCCCTGCGCAGCAAGGCCCTCTCGCTCGAGGACCGGGAGCTTTTCGGTCGGGCGGCTTCTCCCGGATCCCGGGCGGCTTGCGCGGCGCCGCGCTCGTTTTCTGGAGGATCCACGCACCGCGGGAATCAGTTGACCGCTGGAAGGACAAACGCTCCAACCTGGCTCGCGCTTGTATCTTGATGGGCCTGGTTGTCTTGTCATGGTTTGTTCGTCTCTGCAGGTCGCAGGCTGGTCCGTGGTCCTGTCTGATGACAAGGGCGAAGTGATCTCAGCTCTGCACGGCGCGCTGCCCCTCGCGGAGGGGCCAGACCAAGTGGCGAGAGATGGCGAGGATTTTGCAGTTCTGATGTTATCTCGACATGCCGCGGCGACGGCAGGCGCCGCGATCCTCATCGACTGCTCGGGCACGATAGGCTGCGCGGCCCGCCTGGGCAATTATTCTCGGACGTGGGTTCCACAACCAATGACGGCATTGGTGGGCTGAGTGTGGATGCCGTTTGCATGGTGCTACTTTTCGCGAGGTGCAGTCTCATGTGCTCTATTCCGCCTTCTGATATGAAAAGGATTTCGCCGTGGATGGCGCAGGAACGTCGAGGCAGACAGGCTGGCCAAAAAGGGCGCCTCGCGTTTCAGGGCCGACGTCGGCGACCTTCTGCTGGTTGAGGGGTCATGGGCTGACGTGGCGAGTGGCTAGATATGGCGGCCTTCAATCAGCCCACCTGTCTGCAACAGGCTGCCGCGATCGCGTAAACTTCGTGTGGATGCTTTGCTTGGCTATGTGCCCACACCTGCGCTGCCACTGTGTGCCTTTGCGCCTGTGGGCAACGATGCCACCATGGAAGCTGCGAGCGCCGAAGAAGTCCTTGATTGGTTCACTCGTTGGAGAGGCCACCGAATTAGAGAAGTGCCAAACAGGTGCGGGGTGATGGTTCTCCAGTGGACCCTTTGCTTTTATTGCAACACGCGTGGCAGTAGCGTGTCGTGGGGGAATACGTCGCATGCTACGTCTCGGCGCCAGCTTCGTGTGCCTTGCCAGCCCAAGACTTGGACGGGGGCCAAGAACCTCAACAGGATCGCCATGGGCCTTCACCCCCATCAGAGCTCGGAGTCCACGATCAACGACGCTGGCGGCTTGAACGCCTCTGCCATTGACCTGTGGGTCGCCTCCGTGGAAGACTCGGAGGCAGCCGGCAGGAGTGAGGGTTGGGGGAGCCGTTCGAACGCGTCGAATTCAAAGTTTCAGCGTCGCCGGCCCGCCCCTTGCGTCGATTTGGCTCGGGGTTTGGCTCGTATTCGGGCTAACGACGTAACGACGGAGGAGGCCAGGGCGCTTGTGTCCCAGGCCCGTGAGGGGGCTCGTTCCCGCATGTGGCTCCTGAGGAGATGCTTCCCGATGGGCCTTCGTGGCCCCTGCCCTTTTGACTGCCCCCCGGCGCCCCCTCTCACCCCCTGGGTCTTTTGTTTCCTTGCATGTTAAGTGGGTAGCTCCCGAACTGCTCCAGAATTAGCGAGGAGAAGGGGGTGGAGGAGGAAGAGGGGGAGCAGGAGCAGGAGCAGGAGCAGAAGGGGGAGGAGGAGGGGGAGCAGGAGCAGGAGCAGGAAGAGTAGGAGGAGGAGGAGGAGGAGGAGGAGGAGGAGCAGGGTAGGCGGAGGAGGAGAAGGAGGAGGGCGCAGGCGATGCTGGAGGACCGGCAGGTAGGGGAAGGGCGGGAGTAGGAACAAAAGGAGGATGAGCAGGAAAACAAGGACGACGAGGAGGATGAGCAGGATTACCAGGATGATGATGATGATGATGATGATGATGATGATGATGATGATGATGGTGATGATGATAATGATGATGATGATGCTGATGATGATGATGATGATGATGATGACGATGATGATGATGCTGATGCTGATGATGATGGTGATGGTGATGGTGATGGTGATGATGATGATGATAAGGAGGAGAAGGAGGAAGAGGAGGAGGAGGAGGGCGCAAGATATATATATATATATATATATATGAGGAGGACCATCGGCCACGCGAAAGAGTAGCCCGCCGCTAGAGTGAACTTTGGCGCGGACCCGCACGGGTGCCCGCGTGGGCGTGCCATCCACCCACCCACCCAACGACCCCCTGAAGCCGTGCAGCAAGGTCACCCCTTGTCTAGGTTCATTTTTGCGCGTGCGTGTGGCCGATGGAAGGGGGGGAGCAGGAGGGCGCAGACGATGACAAATTGCGGTGGGGGAAAGCGAGGGAGGAAAGGGAGGAGGAGGAGGAGAGGGAGGAGGAGGAGGAGAGGGAGGAGGATGAGGAGGAGGAGGAGGAGGAGGAGGAAGAGGAGGAGGAGGAGGAGGAGGAGAAGGGCGCATGAGGAATGAGCCCTGGAAGTAGGTGGACACCGAGGAGGAAGTTGTGGAGGAGGAGGAGGAGGAGGAGGAGCATGAGGAGGGGGAGGAGGGAGCCCTGGAAGCGAACATCGTGACATCGGGAGTGGAGGCGCAACTCAGTGTGGAGACCATCGCGAGCAATTGCCAGACGCCTGAGGTCAGGGCTATCTTGCTTGAGCGGGACAGAAATGCGACTCGCGAGCGCGCAGGAGTTGGCAGTGGGATGACCCAATAGATGGTAACGTCGACTGCGCCGAGAACGGTGACGACGATGCTGATTATGCTGATGATGGTGATGGTGACTCGTCATGATGATGCTGGTGGTGATGACAAGGATGTCGATGATGGCGTTGATGAATATGCTAATGGTGCTGATCATGATGATGACGACGATGATGCGGATTATGATGATGATAATGATGGTGATAGTGATGGTGATAATGTTGATGATGATGATGATGATGATGGTGGTGATGATGATGTTGGTGGTGGTGAACATGAGGATGTTGTTGACGATGACGATAATGATGGTGGTGACGATGATGAGGATGAGGACGAGGATGATAATGAGGATGATCTCGATGGTGTCGATGATCATGATGATCATGATGCTGATGCTGTTGATGATGATGATTTTTCTGATGATGATGATGATGGTGATGATGATGATGATGATGATGATGATGATGATGATGATGACGATGACGATGATGATGATGACGGCCGTGATGATCACCATGGCAGTGGCTCCTAGAACAGCATTTGCACGCAGGGCCTCTCATGTTATCGGCAAGAACTTGGTATGGCCCTCCGCAAGCGCTCGGGCGTTATACGGCCCCGCCATTGGGTTCCCGCAGGGTCCCGCGGGGACCTTGCTGCGGGGACCCGTGCCATAGATATAGTCAGTAACAAGTAGTTGGCACAATCGTTATCCAGCATGTGCTATCTGAGGCGTCGAGCCAACCTCAGACAAAATAGCCATATAGGACACTTGTTCGATGCTCAAACGTCGGTAACAGGCCGTTTTTCGAAATTGCAACTCGAAATGTTACGAGTCAATTGCGCAGACAATTTCAAATGTTCGATTACACGTCGAGTTTTTGGCATTTATTTGGCACGCACTTGCAGTTCGGGAGGGGTTTTGATATGATATTCTACGCGTCGGGTCACATCGGGCGCCTCGGGAGGGAGTAGATAGCACCCCTTGGGAAAAAGGGGGCGAGGGAGGGAGGGAAGGAGGGAGGGAGATAGCACACCGCCGACCCTCGGCGGCGGTGAGGAGGGCGGCGCCGCAGCGGCCGCGCCGCCGTCGGCGTCGGCTTTGACTGCCTGGCGCCCGGAGCCGAGTCATGACGGGGCCTTCCCGCCTGGGCAGGCCTGCCGGCAGAGGCGCCTCGTCGAGCACGCTCCGGGGGTGCCCAGAGCCTCCCGAGGGACCGCTGGAGGTCCGAGCTGTGGCGGGAATTTTATATATATATATATATATATATACACACGACCGCCGACTGGAGGGTCAGTTTTCGGGGACCTCGGCAGGAGACATCGGGCGCCTCGGGAGGGAGTAGATGGCACGCCCTGGGAAGGAGGAGGCGGGGGAGGGAGGGGGGGGGGGAGGAGGAGGAGGAGGGAGGAGGGGGGGGAGGAGGAAGGAGGAGGGAGGAGGAGGGAGGAGGGAGGAGGGAGGAGAAGGAGGAGGAGGAGGAAGAGGAGCAGGAGGAGGAGGAGGCCTCCCAGAAGCCCCCGAGCGGGACGGGGACCGCCCAGGGCGGCGCGCAGGGCGCGAGGGCGCGGGCCTCGAGGTGTGCTATCTGCGTGGGCGTTCCCTCCCTCTTTCCCTCGGGCGTGCTATCTGCGTTGGCGTCTGCGCGTGCGCACCAGCACCGCATGGGCGCGGGCCGCGCCACGGGCGGTGCGATCCGCGCAGCGGGCATCTCGGGGCCGCCCTGGGGCCGTCCAGCGGGCATCTTGGGGCTGTCTTGGACCAGACCTGGGCCGTCTTAGAGCCATCTTGTTGCCGACTTGGGCGTCTGGGGCCATTGGGAACTTACATAAACTCTTCAATGCATAAGGCGAGGGAGAGAGGGGACGATGGGGGACGAGGAGGGCGCGAGGGCGCGGGCCTCAAGGTGTGCTATCTGCGTGAGCGCTGTGCTCGGGCCCGGGCCACGAACCACACTTGAACATCGACATCCCAGAACGGGGAGTCGGTGCCACCCCCCATGGCCCATGCCCCATGCCCCGTGCCCCGTGCCTCCTGCCCTGCCCGCTGCCATCGCCACTCGAGCTTGTTTGTTTCAGCAGCTGCGCAGCCTCAGCAGCTGACTCAGCAGTTCAGGAGGAGGAGGAGGAGGAGGAGGAGGAGGAGGAGATAGCACAGATCCAGCCCTAGCAGTGCCCCACCCCGCGAGGAGTAGTTAGCACGCGGTTTCCAAGGAGTAGTTAGCACATGCTGGGCTGGATCCATTCTGCAACCCCTGGAGGGGTATGTTTTCCGGCTTGAAACAAGCCAGAAAGGAGATAGCACATTTTCAGGCTGTGCTAACTACACCTTGGACGGCTTGCGCTAACTACCCCTTACCGACTATAGACGTTATCAAGAGTCTCGCCGATTGGGTGTTCTGACTCCGCCTGGTGCTCCATGGTCCTGCACACACGGTTACAAAAAGTTGCATACCCACAGGGCCCCTACGGTGCACCACACAGATCCGGCCGCATAGATTGCACGACGCAGATTGTCTCACAGAGCTGGCTCTACACAGATCGCCCCACACGGGGTGCGCCCCTCAGGTCACCCCTCACATATTACCACCCTCACAGATGCACCGCAAAGATCGCACGACATAATTTCAACTGGTCTGTCATTGCTTGGGCTCCTTGCTGGCATCACCGTCTTGTCTGCGTCTTCACACCGCATATCGTTGCTCATGTTACATTCGTCGCCTTCGTCATGAGAATCCAGGCGGGCCGCCAGGTTGCGAGGCAGGGTGGCAGTGGCCAGAGAGAGAAGGATTTGCACAACAGCGTGTATCATGACGTAGGGGCCGCGAAGAGTTCCAACGGAGACAGAGTGAAACTACAGTCTCACGACGGGAGTCGAGAGACGCGTGGAGTCCAAAACCCGCATACCACGAGACCAGGAAGGCCTTCTAACACCTTGCGGGAGAACTCTGGAAGTTCTTGGATGGAGCTTCCGAAGGAGCTTCTGGACAGCCTGTCAGCACACGTATTGGGAAACATTGGAAAAAGGCTTTCTGCGACAAGCTACGATCTCAAGCAAGTCGCAGCGAGGTTTTTTGACGGAAGCCAGAAGGAGCTCCCGGGCTACCTTGGCGGTTTGAATCGGAAATCCTCTTAGCGCTCCCAGGAGCCATCCAGGACTTAAGCGCAACCGAGGCACACGTTGCGAAAACTCGCCGTTGCTGCATGGGCTTCCTGCTCCTCCGCCCGCTGGGCACCCTCGTTTCTTGTTTCGTTTCTCGTTTCGCGCTCTACAGCGTTTCTACCTCCTACCCTGCGCTCCCTCCGCTGACCCGCGCAACCGCGGGCCTGCTCGGTCTGGCCGTGCGGGTGGCGGAGGGAGAAGGCGACGTCGACGTTCGAGGTGGCGTGGTCGCTGCCGTCATCGCCATCGGAGGGGGGCGGGGCGGGTGCTGTGCACCCTCCGTCCTCCTCCTCGCGTCTCCCCCTGCTCCGCCCGGCTCCCGACGGCCGAAGGGCTCCTCGAGCAGCTGCGCCTCCTTCCCCCTCTCCTGCATCTGGGCCCCCCTCCGTTCTCTCCAGGCGGAGGAGGAGGAGGAGGAGGAGGAGGAGGAGGAGGAGGAGGAGGAGGAGGAGGAGGAGAGGAGAGGAGGGGTGAGGAGGAGGAGGAGAGGGGAGGAGGAGGAGGAGGAGGAGGGAGGAGGAGGAGGAGGGAGGAGGAGGTGGAGGAGGAGGAGGAGTGAGGAGGAGGAGGAGGAGGAGGAGGAGGAGGAGGAGGAGGGGGATGAGTAGGAGGAGGAGGTGGAGGAGGAGGAGGGGGAGCTCGGGTTTGCCGACGCTGTTTGACGAGCGCGCTTTCGATGTTGGCGGCCCAGGTGTCGCGTGATGTTTGCAGCGGGAGCTCGCGCCAGATTTCAGACTGGGCCTCGTCATGTTCATGATGGCCCCGTCCGACCAATCCGATTCCTCCGAACCCGAGGCTTACTTGGAGGGTGAAAGTGGGGGTCGGGCGCAGGGTCCCGGCAATGGTGTCTTCATGCGCCACGCATGGGCGATACATCCTCGACTGCTGTGTTCGGCGGGGGAACCAACTCGAGCTCCCCGCCTGCACCATGCGCCCCATTGAAGACCCTCCGTTGCAGACCCCCTCTTTCACCCTCCAACCTACGTTTCTCCGATGCTCGTCCTCCCTCTCCAGCGACTGGCGCCTGCGACGGCGATCGCGGCGCCCATCGCCCGCCCCCCCGCCCAAACCGAGGGCCGCCGCGCAGCCCTCCGCCGCTGCCCGCCGCCATGTCGTCGCCCCCCGGGGCCGTCCAGCCGCAGACAGGGACGACCCAGCCGGCCGGGGAGGCGGGAGGCGGTGGTTCAAAAGGTGGGATCTCGAGGGGACCTAAGGCAAGGGCGCCCTCGAGGGCGCGAAGTTTTTCGCGCTTCGCGGTTCGGCTCCGATTCCTCCTCTTCCTCCTCTTCTCCCCTGGGAGGCGGCGCGAGAGCGCGAAGTTATTCGCACTTCGCGCAGCGCGAAGCGCGAAGCTGGGAGCCCTTGCTGAGGTGAGGAGCACGAACGAAATGGGCACGGAAAGAATGGGTACAATGCCCAACAGCGGATCTGGTTCATTTTGAACAGGACTCGCTGTCCACGCCGCCGCGGCCTGTGCCCATTCGAGACAGATGGCCGCCTGCCCAACAGCGGCCGCTGTTGGTTTGGGACAACATTTGTTGTTGGGCATTGTGCCCATTCTTTCCGTACCCATTTCGGGCGTCCAAAGGATCCAAGGGTGGATTTGCATTGTTTGAGGCACCTCGTGCTTGGGGCCCCCTCCCTCAGGACCCTATCTTTAGAGGCCTCCCAGGTGGGGTCGGAGTAGATGGAGTCGGAGGATCGCGCCGCATCGCCGATGCATGGCGATGCGGCTCGATGCTTCTGGTGTCGCCGATGCATCGCCGATGTCGCCGATTCATCAGCGATGTGTCGCCGACGTATCGGCGCTGCACTGCGATCCTCCGACCCCATCTGCTCCGACCCCAACTAGGAGGCCTCTAAAGATAGGGTCC